ACCATAGGTGCATTTTAATAAAAGACTTTAAAATTATCATAAGATTTTTATTTTTATAACATTATAAGATGATGATAAGATTATTATAAAATGATTATATGATAGAATGATTATAAAATTATAATATGATTATGATAAGATTAATTTAAGATTAATTTAAAATATCATTTTGATTATTCCATTATAAATTCCTTCCATTATGGAAAAAATTTAAATAGCACACCGGTGTATTCAATGCATCCTATTTTTTTTTACTGTTTGCGGGCTTTAGTAAAGTTTTATATCAAAAAATTGGCGCGAAATATTTTTTATTAAAATACGAAAGATAGTTTCTTAGGTGAAATATCAACTTATAAAAATATGAAGAATTTTGTGACATCCAATGGGAGAGACTTCGTTATGTCGATACCAATTTAACTCAGGGACATCAACATTAAAGGGAAGAAAGCAAGTATTTATTATAGTCGTACACTACAAGAAAATTAAGCAGAGCCTACAACTGAGTATCCAACGTTCTTTATTTACTTCCAAATCGAAGAGGTACTCCCAGAGTACTATCCACAAATCCGACTAAGAATCCAACTAAGAAACTAATGACCTAACGACCTTACTTTTTCTCTTTCTCTTTTTATACCCAAATCCCTTTACGACCATTATTAAAGCAATTACTAATACTAAGTACTTATGACTACTAAATGATTATATAATTCATGCATTGGTATGGCGACATTTCCCTGCATTACATATCTCTTAATGACTAAATAATTTACAATTGTACTCATTACTTCATTACCTTTCTTTGCGTAACAGTAATTTACCGAATGAAACAGAGGATATTTCGGTCATCTGAAAATTCTTCAGGTGTCCCAGAAATAATGATAATATCTGTAATGCATCGCTTATTCGAAACTGAAATTATATCAATATTAAAAATTCCGAATATTATTAGAAGATATTAGAATTTTTAGGCTTGATAATACTGTACATATGTATATGTTGAGTTTCAAAATTAAAATCAGAAACAACCTTAGTTATTTTTAAAATGCACTACTTATTTGTTAATTTTGAAATTCCCTACTCAATTAATTTAAAAGATTTCATTAAATTTATTGTGTAGCAAACTTATAGATATTATGTATAAAAAGTTAAATACATGAAAAAAAGAATTATGAAGTTTTAGAAACGTCATGTACAAGAAACAACTGATAATACAAGAGAATAGCGGGAAGCTAACAGGTAGACGGACCTTGATACACTAGTAATAAAAGGCGGCGTTTTATAGGGCTGCATCTTTAGTTTCTTACTATAGTTTTAAACTTCAACAAGAAATGGTATACTTATTATAATAATTATCGCCGTGGGAGTCTAAATAAATATATTCTGCTTCATGAATTTTATATAAATCGAATAAGCTATCTATATATAATTTTTAATCTTTTTTTAAACTTATGGTTAATAGTTTGACCATATCTACTTGATCTCTTTTTTTTTGTCTGTAAATTAATGTCCAATAGAAATTGTATATATAATTATAATTCTAAATTATGATTTTTTACTAGTGTTTCTACAATTATGTAGTTTTTAATTTTGAAAATATATATAATACTTTATTATGGATTGGTATTAAAATTGTTTATATGATTTTCTGCTTAAATATATTTAATCATATTTAAACTTCCTAATAAATAACAATATCACAAATTATAATATAATTTAAACAATTATCCTAAAAACATTTTATATGTATTATATTTTATCTTTTAAATCCTATTTCTAAAACCTAATGTAATATTTAATGTTTTACCTGGATTTGTAAAATTGTTTAATTATGCAATTTATTTGTAATAAAAAAAAGGCCTAATAAAATGGTTTGAACATAGAAGACATTCGAATGAATGGTTGAAATATCCTTAGATTATTTTTTAGTAGTAGATTCAAATAACTATAACTATACAATGTTTAATCTAAATAGGATAAGGACTAAAACATTCATTATCATTAATGAAATATATATTTCTATGTAGCTAAACAAGGAAGTTTATATTTCATTTTAAGATGTTTCCATATAATCCTCAATGATTAATCGACTCGCTCTCCAAGCAACCATAGCCGTAGGTGCATTCAGGTTTCCGCTTGGGATATATGGAAATATCGAGGCGTCAACAACCCGAAGATTTTTCGTACCATAAACTTGAAGTCGATGATTAACTATTCCATCTTTAGATTCTGGAGCCATTTTTACTGTTCCACTTGCATGGAACGAGAACGATGGCTAAGCACAAATAGTATAAAGATGATAATCAGAACTTTTTGTATAAATATGTTCATCTGCAATATTATAAGTAATTTTATACGTGCCTTAGTCAAAATAAACCTTTCCCAATCTTCATCACTCATATCATCACCATTAGTACACCATTGACCAAATTCATCATTAATTCCAATTTCTTTAACATTATAAACAGTGTTTAGTGGTGGTTGTTTAAATATTTCACGACATAATTTAAGTGTGCTAATCATTCTATATAAATCATCAGACTTTTTAAAATAGTTTAAGAATATCTTCGGTTGGTCGAATGGATTACTACTATTAAGTTCTAGATAACCAACGCTTGATGGAACGTTAAGAACAGGTAATAAAATAATCCCGTCGAATTTATTATGTTTGTTATAAATTTCGATTGAGGGATCTATTAAATCAGGTATGTACGGGGTCGCTATTTATATAACATTAAGTCAATTAAATTAAATCAATTAATAAACATAATTATATAAATCCGTATTTTAACGAATGCATACCATGAATCT